GGAGATCGCAACTCGGCGCCTCGGGCGGCACCTGCTCGCCGGATTACGGCTCTTAGCCCCGAGGAGCTCACCCAGGGATTTCTGCTTCATGAAGAACAACTGGCGCTGATACAGCAACAGATCTCCATTGTCTTCAAATTTCCCGAAGACTCATCCATAGCGCGCAGCCTCATGAAGGCCGTGCGTGAATGGCAAGCCGAACACAAGGCCGGCACCTCTCATCCATGGGGATCGTGTTCGCACTACACGGCCGCCTCCCTCCTCAAGGAGCTCTCCAAGATCACCGACCCCCCGAAAAACTTCTGCAGTGCTGACAACAAGTACTTCCAGAAGGTGGTGCAGGAACTTGGCCCAGACCCGCACGAAAGTCTGGTTCACATGGTCTCCTACTGCTCTGCCCGCTTGAGTGCAAAGAAGGAGCATGTCATTCTGGACTTTCGCCCAGTGCTGAACACGGTTCTGGCCCGGCAGTCTGAGTTCATCTCTGGCCTTTTGGATGGTTGCGACGGCGAACGGCTTGGAAAGCGGGCGCCTGGTGCCTTGGTCCGCAAAGCACGAGGCAAGCCTTCTGATCGCTAGCGGTCATATTCGGACGGGGCCTCGGGCCAATAAGCCATTTCCTCGGAGGCTTGGCCCATCTGTACAGCGCTTCGCAAGGCGGGATTCTTGCACAATCAGTTCCTGCCGATAACAAAATTTCGTGGCTGCCTGCCTGAGTGCCTGCTTTGCTAGTTCAAATGCCTCCGTTTGTTCGCAAGCTATGTGAAGGATCACGTAGAACTTGACTGCGCACACCAGACCAAGCCATGCCTGTGCTCCCGCATAGCCTGGACTACTACGCCAAGCTGTGGCAAGACGCTTGCGATCGCGGGCATGGCATGTCATCAGGCACGCAGGATGATGCAGCACAGCATGAGCAGGCAAAAGCCCAGGGCAACGGTCTCCTTGCCTCCGGGCGAGCCCGCCCTCCTACGCCTCCGAAGCCGAAATCTTCTCGCAGCGAAAGTGGCTCGCCTCCGAAGCCGACTAAGTCGCCACCCATACCCTCAACGAGGCCTCGGACCAAGTTC